TAGAAAATCTTCACAGTGCAGTCCAGCAGAGAAACAGCCAACAGCTTTTGATTGGGAGAGTAACTGACACACAAGACATCCTCATCTTCTCCAGCCTCATTTTCTCTTTTCCTACTCTCCCCACAAATCTTATTCCAGAGATCAGAGCCACCTCTTTTCTTATTTAGTTGAATAAACAGATCACCTGACATTAAGCACAGCATTATACTGTGGCATTCTCCTGTGAAAGGGTCAGAGTTCATAGTCCCATGCTTTCACTTTCTAAGCTTTGAGATGCTCTAGAGGTCCAAGCATAGGAATTTTGGATAGAGATGGCAATTTTTTGCCCTATTTTAATATTTTTAAAGAAATGGGCTAAATATTTTGGTGAGCTTTTAGTAATTATCTAATGTAATGAAACATTAAGTAATATTTTGTTTCTGTGTCATAGGATGGAGCACTAATAGTAACTGGTTCTGCTGATAGAAATGTGAAAATCTGGGGTCTGGACTTTGGGGACTGCCACAGGTCTCTCTTTGCACACGATGACAGGTGGGTGTAGTCTTCTGAAAAGGTCTATTTGATGGTCTCAGATAGTGATAAATTGAAAGTTCCAGAAAATAGGCATTCCCAACTAGTGTAAGAGTGTGCTAGCTTACTGACCTGGAGTTCCTGACATCTACCTCTCCACTTTTAGTGTGATGTACCTACGGTTTGTGCCTAAGTCTCACCTCTTCTTCACTGCTGGGAAGGACCGCAAGATCAAGCAGTGGGATGCAGACAAGTTTGAGCACATCCAAACGCTGGAGGTAACCCTTGCCTGCTGTGCCTGACCAGTACTTTAAGAACTTCCTGTAAGAATATTTACCTTGCCCACTAGCTTAAGCAGGTAGTAAACAGTGAGTAAGTTATATTTCCTGGGGTTGGTTTGGTTTCTCATTGTCCAGGGGCACCATCAGGAAATATGGTGTTTGGCTGTCAGCCCCAATGGAGACTATGTTGTGTCAGCATCTCATGACAAATCGCTGAGACTCTGGGAGAGAACGAGAGAACCTCTTATTCTTGAGGAAGAAAGGGAAATGGTAAGACCTTTAAGTTTGTTTTCATGTCTGGTATGGATGGCTTACAGACTGCCCCTACTGAACTTTCCTGTCCAATGTAATCACAGTCACGCAAGAGGTGTTTCCAAGACCAGTGCCACCCATTCCAGAAGCTAGGTTGACACCAGTGCCATTGGCATTATGAGGCTTTGAAAGAAGCCTTTTCTACTACTTAATTCACTGATTATAACTTCTGTGTGTCTCTTGGCAGCAAAGAGAAGCAGAGTATGAGGACAGTGTGGCCAAAGAAGACCAGCCAGCAGTAAGTGAATCTTTTGGGATACTGGGATTCTGTAATTTCAAGAACTTGTAATGGGAAAGGAATTAAGAATAGATGCCAGAGGCACTACCAGCTAATATGAGAATCTATGTAATGTAGTATTCAATTCTAAAGTTAGTTCTGTGACCAGCTCCTATGAGGATTCTTATCATTATGGCTTTTTCTTTTTTGAATGGAACTTTATAAGGAGTTACAACATTTATTGAGCAGAACAAAAATTTAAATCACAAAGATTGAGAAATTGGAAACTTTATAAACATTTTCAGGGTAATGCTTAAGATGATACAAATAAAAGGTTTACTATTGTGCCTATTCTCAATGGGAGATAGTGATTGTGGGATTTTCATAAAATAATTCCCATCTTGTTCAGGATGTCTTATTTCTGGCAGGTTGCAGGGGAGACTCAAGGTGACAATTACTTCACTGGGAAGAAAACGATTGAAACAGTCAAAGCAGTAAGTTGTCAGAGTGCTGTATCATCTTGTAATAGGATTCTGACTTTTTAGTAAAAGACTTACCCCGTGTCGGCCGCATAGCCCTGTTTGGCACAAAAGTTGATGAGCTCCAAGCACCAGTCATCACCTGTGTCTGATGCCCTTGGTCTTGTATCTGATCAGTGTGTGGCTCTTAGTGATGAAGCTCGTGTCCTCTTGAAGTGCACCTTTGGTGTTCCCAGGAGTTACTCAGTTGTGTCCAAATATGGTCTCATCTGAGTGCCTAGTATTTTGTCTTTTTCTTACAAATTGAAAATAAGAAAAAAAATACTGACAACTGTAAATGCTGCATTGCACTCTAACTGGCATGTCTTTATTAAGCCGATTCAGGCTATTATTAGCCAGGCCTTCCCGTTTCTATGTCTTGAATTGATAGGATGTGTGCTGGGATGATCTTTTCCTTTGCTGTCATCTATGTAGGCTGAGAGGATCATGGAGGCCATCGAGCTGTACCGAGAAGAAACTGCAAAAATGAAAGAACACAGAGCCATTTGTAGAGCAGCAGGGAAAGAGGTGAGCTTGCCCATCAAGTTACGCACTGGGGAGTCTTCATAAAAAGATTTCCAAATGAGGCTATTTCAGATTAACATAGATAAGGAAATGTGGTAAAGGCAGTAAGTACTGTGTAATTCAAGTATTAAAAGAAGTAGGGGAACTGTGAAGCAAAGAGGCTTCTGTATAAAAAAGGAAGGCTAGGAAATAATAGACAGGGTGATTGGTATAAATGTGTGTGGTATAATTTTGTGATAAACTGTACTGCCCAAACATGTTCATCCATTCATTCAGAACTGCAAGGTGTCTCTTTTTTATTCCTTCTCGTTTTAGAGTCAAAGTTTTAAAATATCACTAATGCCCCAACAAAACCTATTTTTAAGATTTGGCTTAATAACTTCTTCATAGGTTCCTCTTCCTGTCAACCCCATCCTGATGGCTCATGGCAATATTTTGGTGAGTAGAATGTCTGTTTCTCCTTTGGTGGTTCAAGGGTTAACTTCAGATACAAGAAAGGGAGTAACAATGCATTGTGATTTGGGGGTAGATGCCCTAGGAAGTCCTTTGTCTCAAAGACTTTCCTGAATCTTGGTGTCCTTCCTCTAAAACAGCTTGTATCTCAAAGGGCTACTAATGAAGAGCTTCCCAAGGAAGTGTCTAGGTTAGAGCAGCCTGGCTCTTCCTCCTCTAGTGTTTCCTTATGTTCAGAATCCACACTTCTCTGAAGAGTTGTTCATTTAAATGAACTCAGAAGTCTTTAGAGGAATGACTGACAAAACCCATCATGAAGAAGGGAGGAGATGTATCCGGAGAATATGTTTATCTAGGAGTTGCCAATTATATGCTATTTTACTTGCATATCTCATTCATTACAGTAATCTCAGAATATCTTCATTGTATAGATATGAAACAGGCCCAGCTTACAAGGAAGCATAGTCAATAAAGGAGACAGCTTAATTATAACCCCAGATCTGGCTAACTCCAAACCCACACAGCTCTGCCATGTTAGGCCATTTTTCTCAAGTGGGATGGACTGAGAGCACCCTGGTGGAAAACACGTGAGCGCTTCACTAATGCTGCTGTCCTTCCTTTGTAGCCTTCAGCATATGTGTTAGAGACCTTTAAAGGAGTCAAGTCTAGGTAAGTCCTTGTGCTTCTGTAACTCACCAGGACAGTCATGGAGTGTCTGAGTGGAAGTAGATGATGGCACTGATACCTTCCTTTTTAATTATGTAAAAATTTGAGTGGAAAACAATTCATTATAATATATTTTGGAAGTATAAGGAACCAGGAGGCTCCAGAAGTATGAATGGTATTTTGAAGGACAAATGTTATAGGTAATAAATAGTTAATACTACTCAGTCAGATACCACCTCGGAACCTGTTTTGGTGTATATTTTGTTCCACTTATTTGTATATATACACAATTGGAATTTTGTTGTAAGGGCTACACACAACCAGTTAGACTACTCAAGCTCCAGGGAGTCACTGTATCTTACTCTTTTTCACATAGGCCTTGAACATTTGCTCACATTATTAATATTTTTCAAAAACACATGAGATTGTTGAACATCTCCTGCAGTACAATTATTGTTTGCTGCATTTCTTATTTTTGCTATTATCAATAATGCCTCAACAAACAGTTTATATATGTGTCTATGCTCTTACTGAATATTTTAATGTATTCATTTGATTAAAAGTTTCAGTCCACAAGTGTGTAAAGTTTTAGTTGCTGTTCTTTCTTGGTGTTCTGGGATAGTTAGTTTGACTGGTTCTTAGAATTTGACATACTGAAGTTTATTTTCATAAACTGAAACATGTACATGTGTAACCCTTATAAACAGTGAATAGAGCTGCCTGAGGATTATCACTAAAAAACTATAAAGGGAACTTGATACTGGGGGTACAGTAATACATTCCAAGATGGGAGGGTTCTGTTCCAAGTGGTTAGAATTCTTTTATTATTTTATTAGTTCTAGTTAGGGAACAAGCTTATTTCAAGTCC